GATGTAGAGATGAAGGATGGCGAAGCCGACCCTGCGAGTACCACTCCAGGAGTCGAGGAGCCCGAACCACCTACGCCTGAGCTTGATCCGCAAGACTACAAGGATGGGGAAGGTCGTTCAGTATCCCCGACGAAAACATGGTCGCACTACCCGACATCGAATCCAGATACTGAAGAACGGAAAAGAGCTGCCAAGCGCAGTGGGCAAGGTACAGCAACCGCTTCCAACTGGAAAACCGCCTATGACAACCTCAGAAGGGTCAGAGCACGCGCAGTGAGCCAAAAGGTGTGCTATTGTTGTGGTTCAAACCAACATCACCTGGCTATTTGTCCCGACACTGAGAAGAAGGACGAGTTGATGAACTCATTCTCTCACATGGAGGACACTATGCGCAAGTGCTTCACCGAGGACGACAAGGCAATCATCCGACGTGATGTTGAAAGCCGAAAGAGGAAAGCAAAGTCATCCAAAGACGTCGAAGACGAGGACTACATGGATGTGGATGATGAAGATATTGAACTTCCCGAAGAAGAACCGGAACTAGGAGGTAAGGTACCACCTCACTCTCCGAGAGCCAAAGGTAGACCACACTCGTCAGACTCTGCAAAAGAGGAATACGCGAAAGCGGTCGAGGCAACCAAGAAGGCCTTTGGGAACGCCAGTTTCGTCACCAGATTCAAAGAGCCCGTCGACCTCTTTGACATTGCCGATGACAAAGAAGGAGGAGAGTACAGGGTCGCAAATCACAGGGTTGATAGATCAGGTCCTAATGGAAAGCGGGAACTTGATGCACTTATTCAGGAGGCTGCAGCACTCGGAATAAAGATGCCCAAAGTGAAGGACCTTACTCCTGACCCGCAACAAGTTCAAAAGGTTGGATATCGGCAGATTGAGGTGGCTTGCGATAGAGGAAGCATCGAGATAATTCCACAGTATGGAGTTACATTCTATGTGGAGTACTGGAATGGACCGAAGAGAGATGCAACTTTCACGGATCCACCAAAGATGAACCCAGCAACTCGCATCGACAAGTTCAGCGAGGAGAGTCAGCGGGTCAACGAGGTTAGCCATAGACTCAATAGACTACTCAGGCATGGAGTGGGAAAGCATAATGGGATTCAATCGCACCGCGGTCGAAAACCTCATGTGTCCCCGAAGTGCAATGAGGGTGGATGGGTGAACATCGATGAGATCCTGGAATATGACCATGTCTTCAACGATGGTGTCGATATCAGTACTATCTCAGGTGATCGGCATCGTCAAGATGTCAAGACAGAGCGATACCAGTATTTATGCAAGGCGATGTGGCATGCAAAGAAGTTGCAGAACAGAGTACGCTATCAGATTGCCGCCATTCGTATCTCAAGGAGGATGTCTCACTCGAAGAGGAAAGGCAATACTGGGCAAACCTCATGTATTACAGCGCAGATGCACCGTCATTTCTGAAGCATGAACGTTGGATCGTTCCTTGTGCAATTCGAGCTGTTGCCTCTCACAATTCTGGAAGAGAGACTGTTCTTGAAGAGGATGTGTCAATATATCCTGTGTGGACTTCACATCTCATCCCAGAGAATGTGGCAATGCAGCTTGGAGGAAGCTTTCACATGACATCGCTTTCCAATATTGAGTCAATCATGAAACTAGGAATTGTCCCTGGTGGAACGGAGGGATATAGAGGTAGTGTTTTCTTCAACCACTTTGCGCCGTGGGATGATCGATCATCAAAGATTCTGAGGTCAAGATGGCCAAGAGTGGGAATGCCCGTTTGCCTTTATGTTCCAATCATGACTTTGAGGAAGCTTGGGGGAAGAATTTCGGAGAATTCCTACACTGTTGTTTTTAGAGAAGTTCCATGGAGATGTGTACGAGGTGCTTGGTATTGGGACGACTACGTTCAGGCATGGAGGAGACTCCTGCTGGGAAGCACTGGAGAGCAAGTTGTTCTAGCGGCACATCATGGACTTTGGGTTGCTCAGAAGCATACCATCCTCGAGAGAGCCGACGAAGTCACGAAGTCAGCCTCGGCGACAGATGACAACGTCCAAAAGCTCGTATCCCTTATCGATGAAGTACAATTCGATGGCAATGGAGAGCTGATCGAGGATGCCATCAGTGAGGAAACTTGGGACGAAATCATCTCCAGAACATGTGAAGGGTATCGCAACGTGGATGGCAATATTTTGTGTCCATCATGTATGCATTTGACTTCTTCATCTTTGTCCGTGTGTCTATCTTGTCAAGGCAGGCTACTCTCGCGTGGTATTCGCAACACTGTCATTTCCGATTCACCCGTTAATCTTGTGAGCGACGATGAAGAGGAAAAGAAGGAAGAGAAGGAGCCTGAAGATGATGATCAAGATATCTTGGACCAGGCCACTATGGACGAGATCAGAAAGGCTTGGGAAGAAGACATCGCTCAAACTGAAGCAGCTGACGACGACGAGGACATGGACAATCTAGATCCTTCCAAACCGTCTGATGGTGCAGAAAACTTCAAGAGTGACAATGTCGAGACCCCATCTTTCAATGAGGACGAGATCGACTACGGTCGTGATTCTGATCTAGAAGATGAAGACGAACGAAACGTGATCATCGAGATCCAGAGGAGCACACAACAATATGAGGGGAAGAAACGTCAAGATGGTGAGCCCGAGGATGAAGACGTCACCGACGACTTACATCCGGAGGCGAATCGACCGACTGATCGTGATGAACCGGGATACTATGCACAGCACGGAGCGACCGAGTTCAATCCCGAAGAAGGAAGAGACAACGAAGATCTCCCCATCTATTGTCGAGTACCGGAACCTCGAATCTATGCGCATCAAGAGAGAGCCTACTGTCAGGACGTCTCCGTGAAAGCATCGGGTTTGATGGATAGGTATGTGGTCAAATGTGTGCTGAACATGATCTCCCTGATGTACAAGAGCTACTATTGCACCAGCCTTACCGACTTCAAAGCAAATTGGAAAAGGAAGCGACTGGATGTGATAAGCAAGTTCGGTACAGGGGATTCCACTGAAATCGATGACGATGGGAGACCATTGGATCCAACAGATGATATGATGTTAATCTTTGCCAACGACAACAATATTACAACTGAGGAGGCCTGGCACCGATTCAGAGGAGAGCAATTCATTTGCAAGGTAGCACTCATGATCCTATCATTTGGTCATACCCCGAACTCCTTCAAGGAGGAATATGGCAACTTCGAACACTCCACCAACTTGACTGATGCCCAGCTTGAGGAGTTGAAAGCGAAGAAAGCCAGCGCAATGACTGAATTGGTACAGAAGTGCATCCATGCGATTTATGGGTGTCGGACATATTCTTACTTTAGAACCGACGTTACATCACCCTACCACAAGGTGATCGATCCTCTGGACATCATGTACTCGAGAATGAAGAGCAAGTGGGAGAAGTCTATTCTGTTGATCATTGATCAACATGAGATCAGGTTGCCCCCACAAGCTCAGGAAGTCATAGAGTCAATGGCCAGAAACCCCAACGTTGGACATACAGAGAGATGGATGAGCGTGGTAGAACATAAGCATGTTCAAGCTCTTACCAATCGTCTAGGCTTTGGAGATAGGGCCAAGGAGATTCAGGGCAAGAAGAAGCAGGCAGCCAAGGCAACAGCTAAGTCAACATCAACGACTAAGTCTGAAGCGAAAGCAGCATCTTCGTCAAGAGCTGAGGCAAAGCCAGCATCTACACCCAGAACCGAGGCCAAGCCGTCGTCAGCACCAAGTGAGGAGCCAAAACCTTCAACAGCACCTAAGAGTTTCGGGCCCTCATCAGCAGAGGAGAACAAGGCGAAGGTTGCTCCAAAAGCCAGACCACATGATAAATCATCATCCAGTGCTACCGATGTGTTTGAGCAAGCTTTGCAGGAAGATCTTGCCGCCAACGCACATGCAGCAGAAGGTACAACTTCTTCATCATCCCGAGGACATTCCAAAGGAGGAGGCCAATCTGGAACATCTTGGAGGCCGGCGCTAACGCAAGAACGTCGCGAAGTACCTCAACCTTCTGAAAAGGGGAAGGGAAAGAGCAAGTCCAAGGGAAAGTCCAAGAAGGGAGAAGATGATCGGTGGGATGCTCAGGGCAGCTGGGATCATCGTGGATGGAGAGGTTATCGCCAGTGGTGATTTCTTTGAACGACTATGAGGATACCATGCAAACCAGGGAGGACGTCATTCACCGGATGTCTATCTGACCTGAAACGCTGTAAGTGTATCATTGCAAATCGTCAATCTGATTTGATACCATGAGCATAATGGAAGGCAGACAGTCACCGACTGTCTCTCCGACTTGCCGTTCTGTAAGTGTATCCAAACCAAAACATACATCTTTTGAGAAGTGTGAAGTCAGTTGCCGATGTGACATCTACGTGGAAGTCACCAGTTCGGATCTACATCAAAGCGATGCTCTTTTGAGTGGATACTGAGCGAGGCCTCGTGACTGTCTCACTTGTTCAATTCGATTTTCATAGGTTCTGAGCCATAGTTGCACACTTTATATGTAAAAGTCCGCTTTAGTCCAGCATGTTTCGTAGTATGAGCCTCATATGAGTCTCGCGGCAAACCATACAATTTCTTTTGTAGCACTTACATCCCTAAATTTTCGTGTGTGATCGGAACATATTGTTGCCGTTCACATGGGGGGTGCGAATGGAAGTGCAGCGACACGTACAGTGCAACTTGTACATATATATGTACCATATGTACTTTGGCTCAAGGATCAAGCGACTAGAAAAGGTGCGGTTTCCGTTCCGACGCTACGCCGCTTATGGACCGTCAGTGATAGCTTCAAACTTCGCTGATTAAGATCCACTCGCACGAACTCTGACCAACATTAAAGGTCACCGTTGCGTCCACCGCGGGTTGGCTCAAGCTCACGGCGCATTGTGGGGTGGGCAAGCAGAGGAGAAGAAACGAACCATATGGACCATTGTTTCCAGTGTGTTTTGCGAAACTCGCCTATCAGGATTCGCGACCATGGGTCCGACAACATTAACATCAGTGAGCGCTGAGGTTGTTGACAAGGCGAGGGTTGAATCGTTGAAGTGATTCAAACATTTTAGTCGGTGTCCTTTATGAACCACCGCAGGTTGAAATCAAGACTGCGTTGGTCTCGGTCTTTGATAAGAACTTGCCTGAGTATTTCTGTGAACTTTGGTTTGAAGACAGAGGTTCTACTAACTTGATGTCGGTTTGCTTGCATTCAGTCGTTTTTTTTGCATGTCAATGTGACAATTAGGATTGGACTGGAAGACCTCGGCAAGTTCCTGGCTGCGAAAGGGGCTAAACGCCTACAAAATTGTTCAACCTGTCAAGACAGAGAATGCATCATGAAGTTGTCACGACGATCTCATGGGCTCCAGGTTCATATTCTTTCGACGGGCGGCACTGCCGCAAAGTTGAGGGATCTGGGTTGCACTGCTCGGTGCTTGGTGGATTTGGTTTCTGTTTCTTGCAGAAATTCTTTCCACACTGACTTCGGGTCCAGGTTCAAGATGTTGCCGACTACACAGGGTCCAGGGCCGAGAGATCAACTTTTTGGGCCCAGAGATGTCTCCTTTGCCAAACAACATGAACAAGACTTGAGTGGCTCCTTGGATGACGAGGTCACCTGAGATTTTGGATGGTCGCGTGAAGACGCTACATCCAAAGGCGTGTTTGCAGAGACCAATTCAGAATATGAGAAACACGATCAACCAAGGTGTGTTTCTCTCTTTGATTGGGGACTTGGACTCGGGTAGGTCCATGGCGGTCTTCTTGCTGCCCGCGGTAATGCTGGACACGAGGTAGCGCAAATGCAACATCTAAAGATATTGATATCCAGAACGATTGAACATCACTCAATTTTTTTGAGCTCGTTCCAGGCGGAAATGGAGAAGCACAGTATCCGCAAAATAGATTTGGTTGCCGTTTCCCTGGCTTGGCAATGTCCACACATGTTGTTTTGAGCATGGGCCTGCTGCTGATGCTGGAGTTTTGCTCAGGTTGTCAACCTTTATCCTTTTCAAGAAGCTGTCCATGCCTTGCTTTGTGAGAGCCTTTAAGATTTGCATTTTCGAGCCGAAGGTGGCAAAAGGAGGCGACTTTGCCGGGGACTTTGCAGTGTAGAGTTTAGTCCGTGCAAGTGTGTTTGCGTATGCAAAAGTGCGTGGTCATCTAGGCTACTTGCATTGAGAACATTGACATTGGTGGACCAGCCATGATCAGAGCATCTGCCAAGAACAATGCGGCTGTGCCGGGGCCTTGTCACAAAGGCCAGTGCAGTGCATGGCTAGCGGCTAGATGTTGTTCTGACCCAGCAGCAACCAGCAGTCCTTGAGATGGACTGTTTTTTTGACAAATCTGCTTGCAACACTGAAAAGAGCCATAGAATATCACTTGCAACTTATCTCAGGACCATCCTGACCAGCCCTTCTCAGTATTCTAAGTTCATGACAGAGCTTAGCCGGCAGCTAAAAGTTTCGTTTTGATTGACACCATGTGGTTGAAGACACCTAGCTGCCTAGTTGAGGTGACAACAGTGGATGCACAACCTTTAGCTTCAGAAAGAACATGGCAGCCGTTGTCTCGGTATTCTTTCTCGTTAGCTTGAGAATTGTCGCACCGCATGTGCCAAGCTTCTCTGCACCTTGGATTCGCAGGCTGCTGCATATACGCTGACGTCGGCCTATGATTCAGCTGTGAGTGGATGGCTTTCAGGGGAGGCCAGGAAGTTTTGGGTCGAAAAAGATCCCACGACATGGGAACCAGACATGGGTCAATGCGGTCAATACCAAGCACCCTGCAGACTTTCCTGATGGACCCCACAAGGATAACATGCAACAATTCAGGAAACCAGAGCTAGTGCAATCACGACACCACCCAAGACTGGGCTACCTGCTTAAACTGCGAGTGCCTCCATGTTTGACATTTCCTCCACGAATCTATAGTCATGTCGTCGAGGCATGCTTATTTAGTAATCCAATTCTTTTCTTCCCTTAAGTGGCCAGATCCACATACACATCAGATTTCCCATGTTCCAAACTGGGTATTACATGGCATAAACGCCGTTGCATTCATTGTGAATACGCATGCTCAACTACCAATCTGGATGGCACAAACCAAAGAGAAAGATCGAGTCCTTGGCCTTATTCCTATATCTCAGGATGCAAAGAGTCCCCAACAAGTTGTGCTCATTGGCGGTCCACTGTTCAATACCTCTTGGGCGGAACTGCTTTTGTTCAACAAAAGTCGTTGGGGTGAACCACAAAATCGTGGATGTATGTATATATATATACACACACACATATATGTGTGTGTGTGTGCAGACTGGACATTCAAATGATCGGGTCAATAAGATATTGATCATGTATTATTGACATGAATTTAGACGATTTCCACCGAGTACGCCCCATTTCCAACTGTCCCAAGGCCAGCCTTCACATGCGAACAGTGTCCTTTGTTTCGGTGACAATGAGGTCACTAGATCATGAATCATGTATTTCTGCCACAGCCCAGTGCTGACGCCGAAACGACTAAGTTGTCTGTCGTTCGGTGGATTTGTTTTATCACTCCGAGTCCTGCATAAACATATTGTGAGCTCGAGAAAAGCCCTATCTCGACCTGGCATAGAATGCAAGTGTTGGAATTGCATTCGTCAGATGCCATTTTGCTTTTCAACTTGCCAATGATTTCATGGGTGGCTCTTTGAGAGGTCCTCTCAGAGGGACGGAGGGCTTGCGGGTTTGGTAGGAAGAGAAGGGGTTATATAATGAGTCTGAAGGTCTTCGATCGCTGAAGTTTTGCAGGTTACAGAGCCTCCCACCAAGAAGACCATCACTTTTGAGACCGGGTTCTTAGAAACTCAGAGAGTATGCGAACTTTGGGGATTGGCATTTGTATTTGTGAAACTTGTGAAGCTTGTGAAGCTTGTAGTGAGGCTTGAGATGCCCTTGAAGTACGGATGCAATCCGACGAAGCCTCAGAGTCTGAAATCGACACTGGAATGTTGAATGAAACAAGTATCACGATCTGAGATTGAATGCTGCTCCATTCAGGCATCAACTGCCTGCTGGGCTTTGTGCCGTAGCCCAGAAGAAGCTGCCTTTTGAAGCTGGGATCTCGAAATCTGGAGATGAGCTAGTTCTTCGTTGCACGAACCATGCAAGTACAAAGCTATCAAGGTTGTGAATGGAACGTCCTCACCTCGGAACTTAACCAACATAGAAGCCTATAGTCACCATAGTGCACCTTTCTTTGGTGTTTGGTGACCCCAGTGCACTTGTAAGGCCGGGATACATCAACTTGCTGGACGCGATCAATGCCTGGCAATTGGTTCATGAGCTTGCTAAAGCCACAGGCTTGCCTGCCAGCAACTCAGACAATCGATTTGATGCATTCGCACTCATTTGTTGATGTCCTTTCTCAACTGTGGGATGATTGGTGCCCGAGGCTGCGGCTTCCTTTAAACATGTCAGTCCAGCTGGTGCAGCAATTGGAGTCCCGCTGAGTGATGAGGACCAATCTTTGGAGTCTTTCTGCTGAAATTGTTGGCCTGTAAGATTCTACCACGTGAGTGGCTGAAAAGTGTGCAATACGAGGAGAAGATTGTGTATGAAGTCAAAGATAAGGAAATGACGGCCACTGTAGTTCACTTAGGTTTCTCCAGCGACAGCCGTTTGGTCCACAAAACATATAGTTTTGATTGAACAATTGGGGTGAGGCTGCAGCGTACGTTCGAGCCCGAAATGCTGATCCCATGTGCTCCTTCGGTGACTTTGTGGCCATTTCACACGAAGTTGACGTGGCTGGAGCCCCTGCAGCTCGCAGCCTCATCACCCGCAATTGATTGACTTTGCGATTTGCGGGCAAGGCCACTGCAATGATTTTGAAGATAGAAGTCAGCGATGGCATCATTGTAACGCCCCAAGTTGCATTTATGAAGCCAATGATTATATAAGTCTCTGAAGACTTGCAACGCCTAGATACTGAATTTGTCCTCCTTCAGGCTCCTTCCTTCGTGCCAGAAGCATTGGAAGTGTTGAAGGCCGATGTGTTGAAGAGTGGCACAGAAAGATTTGAGCTTCGTTGTTGTGGGATTGTTTGTTCGACAGGCGAAGAAGGGTGGCAAGTTCATTGTTTTGAAGGCGGGCGATCATGAGATTTTTTTTGAGCACGGATTTACCACGTTTCCAAGCGAAGCATCCGAGGCTGATCCAAACTTTCAGTACTCTGACCTGGAGTATCGGATGGTCAGCAACTTTCCAGTCTCACTGCGCACCGAAAACTCTTCAGCGGTGGGTGAGCTATCTTGGTCTAATCTGTGAGGTTGGTGGTGTGGGCTTCATGCAGAAGAGGAATGATGCACTCTTCGATGCCTCCAAGCTGGCAGAGGTGTGAGAGTCACCAGACGCAAGTGACTCAGAGTAGGTGGTGACTGCGCAGGTTGTTACAACCCAGAAGACTTTGCCAGACAAGGCACAGTGCAGGACTTGGTTGGTCTTTTCTTCCAAAGTGGAAGTAGGAGAGGGAAGCTTAAAGACTGAGAGAAACTTTCCATGTTCAACCAAGGAAGGACCTTATTTTGGCTTCCATCGCCATTAAGTACACGCCATCCTTGCCTGACTTGCATGACAACAGAATTGCCGTGCTGCCTCTTGGTCTCTCAGCACTGCAGCATCGGCAAAGCTTGCTTTTGCCAGACAATCCAATTCGGTTGGCTACAGCAAGGACAAGAGCCGTCAAAGACTACTATATAAGTAGTGCAGCAAGTACGTTTCACAGCTTGGTGGTGCATCCGATGGTGGTAACAGCAAACTATGATGACATGCGCAAAACACCGCAGGATGGCATGATGATTGGCGTGGGTGCGGGTCAGCAGAGCCGTCCGGAGCTCTGCAGTTGACAAGTCGACACTGCATGGCAGTTTAGGATATTTGCGTAAACATTATATACCAGTTCGGATCTGATTTCTCTCGATGCGGGGGCTCTCATCGTAGAATAATGACAGAACACTGCACTGTAAGGAAAGCACTGTTAATTGAACAAACAACAGCAGATCGCCAAGGGTCAGTACAGATCAGCAAGACTTTTTGTCTATGCCGAAAGTGATTTCACCATATATCGCCATGAAGAATAGCTTATTCGTCAATCTCCAATGACAATCAATGCTACCTCAAACCACCAAGACCTTCCAACACTACTAGTTGTTGAGTGCAAGGACATGTGATGTCAATGATTCCTTTGCTAAGCATTGCATCACTTGCATTTTTCATGTGTGTATAAAATTTCGAGGTGTTGACTGCGTGAAGCTCGCTGGCCGGAAAGTTGCAACATGGTGGTTGAGGTAGGAGATGATGTGTTTGAGATTTCGCACGCGGAATGGTTTTGGCATCACAGGTTCCATCCGAAGGCCTGCCTCCTATATATATACTTTTTTTGTTTACTTTTCCTGTAGCAATTGCTACTTTGCAAATCGTCCTCTCAGGTCAAGGGCCTGCCTTTCAAAGAAGGTGTTAGGGACACAGACTGCAATTCTGCAATGTAGACTTCCTGGAGCGATGCTGAAGAGGTTATTGGCTTGTGGTTCTCAGTGAGGTCAAGCGACAGGATCGAGTCAATGCAAGGGTGCGTTTGATCCTCGGATACCATTTTGATACCAGGGGGGCAATTTGTGAAACTTTGTACTTCTGATGTGTGGACCGTCCAAAGGCTACATCGAGGGTGATATGGAAGACGCTGAGAAGACCGAGTGGCTGAAGAACTTCAATTCACCGTTGCTCGGATGAGAAGTCCAGGGGAGCAAGACTGAGAAGATGGGGTGGGCATGGAACGCTGACACGCTGAGGCCAGAACCCTTGACAGCGGAAGACAAAAGCACTTTTTTGAAAGGCCATGTGCTTTTGCTTCTTGTCATGTTTGGACTCGTTCATTGGGCTTCTGCCCTGGTCAAGTCCTGTTCAACGCTAGGGATGTGTTTGTACTGAAACTTCTAGGCCTCGATGGAGTTGCAATCTCATCTGACGCCTTCTTCCCCTTCCGGGACTCGATAGATCATGCTACAAGGCCTTTGTCAAAGCCTCCAGGGTTTGATGTAGAAGCTCAGACTTCAGACTTGATATTTTTGCGACTTGCGAACATCATCAAATGTGGAGAGCCGGGAGACAGAGAAACTTGCTGAGAGAGTCTCTGCATGCGCAAAAGAGAGGGAGGAGCTGCAAAGTTTGTGTTGAAGCTTCTGCTGGCCAGGTTGGGTGTGAAATATGTGGCTCAACCTGGTGGTTCAGTGGCGGATGCTGAAGTGATTGATGCTTGCAACACTTACGGCATGGCTTGGTGCCAAGCTTTTGAGTTGAAGTCGACTTGAGTCGAAAAGTGTCACATGCGACTTGTTGGTGGACTCATACGACATGCACGGGGTTTTAGCGTTGATTGATCCAGGCCATGGCCTTCACCAAGTTGAGACTCTTCCACCACTGAGCATTGGCAGCGTGCTTCACAATGCTGAGATTGCGCCACTGCTAGCTGCTAGTGTACTCCAGGGTCAAAAAGCAACTTTAAGCTTGATCACGCCACAAAACAATTTTGAACGCGATGGTAACGTGCATGGCACATGCAGGAAATGCGTGCAGCGCCCTGCTTTTTGACAACCTGTTTCTTTTCATTTTGTTTGGGGACTCGAGTCAACGGTGGAGCTGTGGATTCCAGTTCCACGGATTTTGAGCATTAGATGGCTTGGTGTCACACAACTGAGTTGTCTCAATTTGTTGCCATTTTCATTGACCGATTGTGTGACACCAATTCCTAGTTTGCGTTTTGACCCCCTACGCCTTTTGACCTGCCAAGGCGGGAATTGAGAGACATGCTGTTAAGCGCATGGTTCCACAAAAAGTGCGCTTGCAACCTGCACAAGTCTTACAGTACACCAGAATGACTTCAAATTGACCTTGACGTGCTGATTTCGACATTTAATTTGTCGGATCTCATGATATTTCTGGCAATTGGAGGCTCGTTGGCGCTGTCGCAACAATGACAGAAACAATGCAAGAGAATGAACGACTGTTCAATGTTATAGAATTTAAGGCTTGATTTTTCTCCAATCTCCCGTCGCAGCCTGATTTGCAAGATCCTTCGACAGGCGCACATGTTTGTCATCAATCCAACTGCATGGTTCTGCGTGGGACCTTCTTGCACCGCATGACCAGTCCAGGTCAACATGTTCTGGGACGCTTTCGGCTGCTTCTCCACAACCTGGACCACAATCCAAGAAGATATTTTTACGCTGTCTCTCAGCACAATAAGATTGTGCTGTACAATGGCGCATTCCAAATTTGTTTCTGTGTTGGATGATATGCATTGACCATCATTGACCTCTTGTGCACTAAGCTGGCCATCAACTGACACTGTCTCGCTGCTTGCTTGCAAGATCAGCTGTCTAACACTGTTTCAGTTCTTAAGGCGCCTGTTTGGCTTTTGTTTCGCTTGTTTTCAACTCCAGGTGTTGGAACTGTGGCTGCCTGGCGAAACATGAATGGGTGGCTCCCTTAGCTTGAACGTGACATTCAAACCTGCTTGGCGTGATATCGGGTTAGTTCATTTTGAGGCTGGATACAATCCAGCAGAAGATCGTTATGATGTCCACAGAGCCGTCGTGCACGGACAGCCCCCCCAAATGACTTCTGCCTCTCAGCTGCGATGTCCAGTTCACGATTCTTGAGGCTGAGGCTTGTCCACTCCTCACTTGTCTCTTCATAGAAGTTGTGGTCCCATTTCCATCAACTTGCGTCCCTGTTTGTCTTAGACTGGCAATTAAACCAGATTTCTTTCTCCAAAGGAGTTGATATGGACAAGTTAGGTCATTGTGTACCCTCCCAGCCTCTGTTGACTTCGCTGCAAAAAGGTTTGTGCTCCATGTGTTCCCAGCCTTTTGGAGCTTCTTGTGTTTATTGTGTTTGGTACCGGAGTCTCTCTCTCCACTCTCCAACAAAGGTCCAAGGTACAACATAGAAGCTATGGAAGGATGACTGATGACACCTGTACATACAGAAGTGTATCAATCGTTTCAACTGTTTGCTTTCTTGGACTTGCAACTCTTGATTCAGAGTTATCCTCACACTTCTCTTATCTTCTTGTCAGGTTAGAAGCAGCAGCCCGCACAATCCCCTCTCTCAAGTCTTGAATGTTGTGCCTTGAGAGGCAGTTCACTCGGTACCCTGGACAGATGTACATCCAACGATGGCCCCATTATGATTCTGTTTGAGAATGGCCAAGTATGTGGGATCCTTCTTGATGGAACACATATACTGTAGAAGACCAAAGGAGGTCTAAATCAACGTTGAAGCAACTTCTCAGCCCTCGAGGAACGCCTGCTGAAGAAGCAGATCCTTGCTTTGAGTGTCCGCATTGCAAGAGGCACAGATGTCACATTGCAGTAGTAGAAGGGGTTCACTTATTTGACATCAAGCGCCGAAGCGCCTAAACCCAACCAAAGCAACGTCCAGCGCCTAAGCGCCTAAGCTCTTAAGCCCAGACAAAGCAACGTCCAGCGCCTAAGCTGAGCGAGCGGCTAAGAACACTAAGGGGCTTCGAGGCGTAGAGGCGTTTAGAGCCTTAGAGGCGTAAGCGCCTAAACGTCTAAGCGCCTAAGCCCTAAGCGGCCTTAGAAGCTTAGAGCCGTCAAGCACGCTGGGAGACTTAGAGGCTGAGAAGCTTATCAAGACACTAGGAGGCTTAGAGGCTAGTTTCAAACAAGAACCCCTCCTGCCGCTACCACGAGATGTCAAGTCGTTGAAGCCTTTTCCAAACAATGCTGCCCATCAGTGCCTTGCTGTTCGTCAGGTGGTGACCCTGCCACAGTGCGGCACTATCAGACTGTCATGGAGGACTGAAGAGTAGCCGATGACTTGAATCCCGCCTTTGGCGGTACCGCAGCCCTTCTCCAGCCATCGTCGTTTTCTTTTCCTTTTATTTCCGAATGCGTAGCGAAGGGTTCTCGTTTAACTTTTGGGGGCCTGGGGGTAGAGCCTTGTTCGCGACTCGTTGCCGTCCGCAACCGTCCGCAACCCTTCGCAACCGTTCGCAACTGTTCACAGTAGGGCGGGTTTTGGATGGAAGCATGACGTGTCAGATTCGTGTGAAATAGCGAGGAAATGTGTGGAAACGTGAGAGGATGAAGTGTGAAGGATGAAATCACTGCGCAGGCGCGTGAGACGGCGAGTTTTCTGCGCAAGTCACATTGGGACTGGCGGTTGGAGGGTGGTGTTCTTGGGGTGTTGGATGTGGCTGTGACATTGGGATTTGCGTTTAAGGGTGATGCTTCGAAGCTGTGTTTTCGTGATAACTTTCAGCTCAAATGGCGATTTTGGTGGATGCGGGCGTGCTCAGAACGTGTCGAAGTCACTCCAAACGTGTGGTGTGGTGCAAACTTTGCTGAAGCTAACATGAAATGATATTGGCATTTTTCATGGCAGGCGCAGTACTTTGTTCGGGCTTTGAGGTGTGGAAGCGCAATTTTCGTGGCAGGCGCAGGGAGTCGTGAGGTTGCGAGGTGTGGCGTCACATTTCGTAGCAGGCACAGTGCTTCGTGCGTGTTAGAGGTGTGGACGTGCAAATATTCGTGACAGGGGCAGGGAATCGTGAGGTTGCGAGTTGTGGTGGAGGTGAATGTCGCTGTGACATTGGGATTGGTGTGTGAGCGGGTGTTGTTTGGAATCGCGAGACTGCTTGGCAGGGCTGTCTGATGGGGCTTCCCGCTTGACTTTTGGAGGAAGTCTCGAATGAAATGCTCGTTTTGAAGACTTTGACATGAGACTTTTGAAGGGGGTCTCATACGAAACGCTCGTTTTGCAGACTTGAATGGTTAGTTTTTGAGGAAGTCTCGTTTCGCTTGTTTTGGAGACATGACGAGTGAATATTGGAGGAAGTCTCGTGGGAAACGCTCGTTTTGTAGACTTGATGTGTGACTGTCTCGCGCGAAACGCTTGTTTTGGAGAACTTGACGCGTGACTTTTGGAGGAAGTCTCGTAAGAAACGCTCGTTTTGCAGACTTGAAGTGTTAGTTTTTGAAGAAGTCTCGTACGAAATGCTTGTTTTGCAGACTTAATGTGTGACTTTTGGAGGGCGTCTGCTACGAAACGTTCAAGAGTTTCCTACAGACTCCTACAGTGTCCCACAAGAGTGTCCGACAAGAGTGTGCTACAAGAGTGCGCCCCAAGAGTGTCCCACAAGAGTTTCCGACAGTTCCACAAGAGTGTCCTACAATGTCCCAGGCCAGAGTGTCCCACAAGAATGCCATACAAGAGTGTCCCAAAGAGTGACCTACAAGAGTGTCTTACAAGAGTGTTCCGCAAGAGTGTGCCACAAGAGTGTCCCGCAAGAGTGCTCGACAAGAGCGCCCTACAAGAGCGTCCCACAAGAGTGTCCCACAAGAGTGTCGGACAAGGGTGTCCGAAAAGATTGTTCCATAAGAATGTCCGAACAGAGTTTCCTACAAGAGTGTCCCACAAAAGCGTTTGACAAGAGTGCCCCGCAAGAGCGCCCTGCGAGGATGTCCCACAAGAATGCGTCCTACAAGAGTGTCCCACAAGAGTTTTCCACAAGAGTGTCCCGCAGGGGGTTGCCCCCCAAGAGTGACCTATTAAGAGTCCCGCAGAAGTGTCCTACAAGAGTGACGTGCAAGAGTGTCGGACAAAGGTGTCCCACAAGAGTGTTCCACAAGGGTGTCCGGCAAGAGTGCCCTACAAGACTAGGAGGGTGTCCCACAGGAGTGTCCTACAAGAGTGCTCCGCCTTGAGAGTGTCATACAAGAGTGTTCCGCAAGAGTGTCCTACAAGAGTTTTCCACAAGAGTGTCCGACAAGAGTGTTTAGCAAGAGTGTCCAACAAGAGTGTACCGCAAGAGTGTCCCATAAGAGTGACATACAAGAGTATCCCACAGGAGTGTCCCGCAAGAGTGTCCCATAAGACTGTCCGACGAGAGTGTCCTACAAGGGTGTCCCGCAAGAATGTTGTACTGTAGGCGTTCCACAAGGTGTCCCACAAGGGTTTCCGACAAGAATGCGTCTTACAAGAGTGTCCTGCAAGAGCTTCTCGCAAGAGTGTCCTACAAGAGTGCCTTGCAAGAGTATGATACAAGAGTGTACCACAAGAGTGTCCCACAAAAGTGTTGAAAGACTGTCTTACAAGGTGCCCGACAAGAGTGTCCCACAACAGTGTCCCGCAAGAGTGTCCTGCAAGAGTGTCCCACAAGAGTGTCCTACAAAAGTGTCCCACGAGAGTGTCCGACAAGAGTGTCCTACAAGAGTGTCTCGCAAGACTGCTTTACAAGAGTGTCCCAAAAGAGTGCACTACTTGTAGCGCAAATTTAATGTCGGAAGGAGCTCCTGGGAGCTGCGCAGGTAGTTGTAGTAGGGGAAGCGGCTTCTGGTCCCTCTCGCCTCAGAACTGGCAACTTTAGCTGCGGCTTCAGAACTGGCAACTTGT